CCCCCGGGGCCCCCAGCCCTCCAGCCTGGCTGGGCCCACGTGGCTCCTTCTGTGCCCAGAGAAGGAGGGGCCCCTCGGCCGCCTGGCCACCCTCCCAGCACGTTTAAGACGGTGTCTGGGCCACTGGCCATCGTGCACGGCAAGCAACAGCTGGGCTTGTCCCCTGCACGCCCCGTGACAGCCTTGGCCCAGGCTGCAAGGAGCCACCCTGGTGCTTCACCAACCCGCGGTGGGGCTCCCCAGCAGCCGAGCGGTGGAGAAACGCGCCGTCCTCGCCCGACCGCGCCGGTCTGCGGGACAGGCACGCCTCCACGCTTGCGAATGCTTGGTTATACCCGCATGCGCTCCCACCGGCACCCAACATGCGGGCACCCACTCCTCCTCCACACTAATCTTACTCTGGCTCTTTGATGCCGTTGCAGGTCCAGCACCTACCGGGACCTGCGGAAGGGCGTGTATGTGCCCTACACCCAGGGCAAGTGGGAAGGGGAACTGGGCACCGACCTTGTCACCATCCCCCACGGCCCCAACGTCACTGTCAGAGCCAACATCGCTGCCATCACGGAGTCGGACAAATTCTTCATCAACGGCTCCAACTGGGAAGGGATCCTGGGGCTGGCGTACGCCGAGATCGCCCGGGTGAGTGCTGGCTCACAGCCGGCTAGGCCCCAGCTCTGCCAGCAGATGTGGGTGCCCTGTCCCAGCAGGGTTCGATTGCCTCTTTCCTTGGCTCTACTCGGTCCCCTGGGGCCCAGCCTGCAGCTGTGCTGGTGACCTTGAGCCCTGCTCCAGCAGCAGGCAGAGCCAGGATCCCTGGGGGCACAGCGGTCCTGGCGAGGGGGGCTCCCCTGGGCACAGAGAGCCCCTGGAGGAGGGGTAGCCCTGACGCATCCCTGACCTGCCTCTGCTTTCTCCTCCCACCAGCCTGATGACAGCCTGGAGCCCTTCTTCGACTCCCTGGTGAAGCAGACCCGGGTGCCCAACATCTTCTCCCTCCAGCTTTGCGGAGCAGGCTTCTCACCCAACGAGACGGAGGCCCTGGCATCGGTGGGGGGCAGCATGGTGAGCGCTCTGCAGCCAGCAGGGTGGCCGATGGGGCTGCCCGTGGGGCATGTGCCCCGGCCAGCGTGGGCAGCACCGAAATTTGTGTCTCTGCTGCAGATCATTGGTGGCATCGACCGCTCGCTGTACGTGGGTGACATCTGGTACACCCCCATCCGGAAGGAGTGGTACTACGAGGTCATCATTGTCAGGCTGGAGGTCAACGGGCAGGACCTGAACATGGACTGCAAAGAGGTGAGGAGGCGCCGGGGGAACCTGCCCGACGGGGCACCGCTCTGCCGCTGCCGCTGGAGGCGTCCGCTTCCATCTGAGGGGGAGCGGGGCTGGGGTCTTGCGCCTGGGTCACTCCTCCTCTTCTGCCCCCAGTACAACTACGACAAGAGTATCGTGGACAGCGGGACCACCAACCTCAGGCTGCCAAAGAAGGTGTTTGAGGCTGCAGTGAAATCCATCAAAACAGCTTCTTCGGTCAGTGGAACTCGTCCCTCCCCCGTGGGCGCCTCCGAGGGCCAGCACGGGGCTGC